CTTTTTGTTAAGAAAAAGGACGGTACTATGCGCATGTGCATTCACTATAGACAGTTGACTAAGGTGACAGTGAAGAATCGTTATCCTCTACCTAGGATTGATGACCTATTTGACCAGCTACAGGGAGCTTCATTGTTCTCTAAGATTGATTTGAGGTTCGGTTACCACCAGTTGGGGATTAGGGCAGTGGACATCCCTAAGACTGCATTTAGGACCCGTTATGGCCATTATGAGTTCTTGGTGATGTCATTTGGGTTGACTAATGCCCCTGCCGCCTTTATGAACTTGGCCATACCTTAATTTATTTGTCATTGTCTTCATTGATGACATACGGGTATACTCGCGGAGCCGGAGTGAGCATGAGCAACATTTGAGGATAGTGCTCCAGACTTTGAGAGATCAGCGGCTTTATGCCGAGTTCTCAAAGTGCGAGTTTTGGCTTGAGTCTGTTTCCTTCTTGGGGCACGTGGTGTCCAAGGCGGGTATTAGGGTTGATCCAGCGAAGATTGAGGCTATTCGTGATTGGCACAGGCCCACTTCTGTTACTGAGGTTCGTAGCTTCGTCGGGTTAGCGAGTTACTACAGACGCTTTGTTGAGGGCTTTTCTACTATTGCAGTCCCGTTGACTCGATTGACTCGTGTTGATGTTCCCTTTGTTTGGTCAGAGGAGTGTGAGGCGAGCTTTTTGAGGCTCAAGGAGTTATTGACCACTTTCTCCTATATTGACTCTTCCAGTTGAGGGCGAGGGCTTTACAGTTTATTGTGACGCATTCGGCGTTGGTTTGGGTTGTGTATTGATGCAGCAGGGCCGGGTTATTGCTTATGCATCGAGGCAGCTTAAGATCCATGAGCGCAACTACCCCACTCATGACTTGGAGTTGGCGGCGGTAGTTTTCGCGCTTAAGATTTGGAGGCACTACTTGTATGGAGTTCGATGTGAGATCTATACCGATCATAGGAGTCTTCAGTACATCATGAGCCAGAGGGACCTTAATTTGAGGCAGCGTCGTTGGATTGAGCTCCTGAAGGACTACGACCTCTCTATTCTCTATCATCCGGGCAAGGCGAATGTGGTAGCGGACGCCTTGAGCCGGAAGGCAGTGAGTATGGGTAGTCTAGCCTTCTTATCTGTTGAGGAGCG